GAAGGAAGGAAGGAAGGAAGGAAGGAAGGAAGGAAGGAAGGAAACTTTTTCAAGTGGTGACAAGGCCATTTGCCCTCTAAGAACATTTAAGAATATTTATTTATTGAAATCCATGAGGTTCTTGGGTTTACTACTCTTTGCCAAGACTATCCTTCTTTCTAGAGTCTTTGTGGAGACTTCAGAAGCAGTCACAGCATTTTGATTAGTGATTGGAAAGTCCAATAGCTGTAGGGCTGGGTTTGAGCATCCTCTGTTTCAATGCAAGCCCTCATTCTCACCATTCTGTGTCCTGGGGCACAGTTCCCGACACTGCACCCCTGAGACATGACCTATAAAATAGGAATAAAGTATATCCTCAAGAGGTTTTAAATACTAAGTCCAATGTCTAAAGCCCTTGGGTAGGGGTAGATCACTTAAGAATCTTCAGTTTGAAGAGGGCTGTGAAGTCCCCTTTTGTGTTGTTCTTACTCACCCACAGGTGAAATCACTGAGTAAATTGTTTACACACTTTTTTTTCTGTAACTCTATTAAATTACTAGTTTAATGTAGGTAGGAAGGATGTGAACACTCCTTTTCACCATTTCAACTTCAGGGTTTGGTAAACTCTAGCCACTAGCAAATAGTTCAATCGGTTGAAGAAATATAAGCATTTCCTTGTCTTTGTTTTCCAGAGTCCTACGTGTTTAACAGCAAAACAAATATTGTCCGTGTCCTGTAGAAGAATTTACAATGGAGAGTCCAGCTGTAACGGAGCCCTCCCACAACACAGATACCGAGGATAACTTCATACCTGCATTATTATGTTTCAGCATCAATGTGAGGGCATTTGGAATCACAGTGCTGACTCCCCTGTACTCTCTGGTGTTCGTCATTGGCGTGATAGGCAATGTCCTGGTGGTTCTGGTGCTCATACAACACAAGAGGCTTCGAAACATGACCAGCATCTACCTGTTCAACCTGGCTATCTCTGATCTGGTCTTCCTTTCCACATTACCCTTCTGGGTTGACTATATCATGAAAGGAGACTGGGTTTTTGGTAATGCCATGTGTAAGTTTCTGTCTGGATTTTATTACCTGGGCTTGTATAGCGACATGTTTTTCATTATCCTGCTTACGATTGATAGATACCTAGCTGTTGTCCATGCCGTGTTTGCCCTGAAGGCCCGGACTGTTACTTTTGGCATCATCAGTAGCATCATTACCTGGGTCCTGGCTACCTTGGTTTCTATTCCTTGTCTGTATGTTTTCAAAAGCCAGATGGAGTTCACTTACTATACCTGCAAAGCAGTTTTGCCCAGGAAAAGCCTGTCACGGTTTTTGAGGTTTCAGGCTCTAACAATGAACATCCTTGGACTAATTTTGCCTCTGTTGGCCATGATTATCTGCTACACGAAGATCATCATTGTTCTACACAGAAGACCCAATAAGAAGAAAGCCAAAGCCATGCGTCTGATTTTTGTTATTACACTTCTCTTCTTCCTCCTCTTGACTCCCTATTATCTGGCTGCCTTTGTTTCTGCTTTTGAAGATGTCCTGTTCACCTATAATTGTTTGAGAAGCCAACAGGTGGACCTGTCCTTGATGATAACTGAAGCACTTGCCTACACCCACTGCTGTGTCAACCCAATCATTTACGTCTTTGTGGGTGAACGGTTCCGGAAGTACCTCTGGCAGCTGTTTCGGAGGCATACAGCGGTATCCCTGCCAAAATGGCTGCCCTTCGTCTCCATGGACCGAGCACAGAGGGCCAGTGCCACGTCTCCATCCACAGGGGAAATTGAGGTCTCTGCTGACTTATAATTCGGACCCCTGGATGCCAACAAAGGCTCAGAAGAGAGTGAAAAGACAATGTGCCTCTCCAAGACAAATACAGACTGAGGATTCACTCTCTTGTAAAACAGAGGAACCTTGCGGGTAGCTTAGATAGAATGTTTGCCGTGATCTTCCTGTCAGAAAGGGGATATATGAACAAATTGAGACAGTCCAGAGACAGGGACAATAGGTTCCAGAGAAGGTCTTAGACCCAACAAGAGGTAGGGTTTGCGCACTGCCAAACAAAGTGAACCCCACTCTCAGTGATTATGGAACCAGTTAAGTACACAATTGTGTGTACTCTGAACCTGGAAGTCAATGGCAGCTCACAGATGCCGCCTCTACATCTTGAAAACCCTGGAACTCAAGGTCAAAGTTTTTGAGACCTATTGAGGCACTGCTTTGTCATTTCAATAGGAACATCTTTAGAGAGATTTTCTATTTCTTAAAACTAAAGATTTCCAGCAAGTGAACAGGGAAGGCTACTCACCTTTCCTATTTATAGCCTTCTCCCTAAAGGGTCAGGCCTCTAAGTATATAATTAATGTAACATAATAATGTGCACTGCATATATTTATTATGTTACATTAACCTCCACCTCACCTTTCTAATCCTGCAGGTTCTATGTATCTAATCTGGAGTAATACTTTCTAATGCTTTGTCTTTACTTAATAGCAGGGGCAATACATGTTGTGTGAAATGCGTTCTGGAACAATTGTATCCTGCTTGACTTTGGACTTGGTTTACCTGATGATTCCATTTTCAGTGGCTGCCATCTGCTTACCTTGAGAGAGTTTACTGGGTTTGATAACTCCATTTACTGATTTTATATCAGGCTGGGAAGTGATAGACTTTTATTTTCTAGTGCTTCATTCCTCTCGATTACTTCCCTCCCTGTGATATCTATGTATTCATTTGTCTTACTCTATGCTGAATAGAAATCCTTAATTTTGGTGTAATAAATTTCATCAACTTTTTATTTGCTTCTGCTTTTTAAATATTGTTTGAAGGCTTCATGGGCCCATGTAGGAGGAGCTAAGGTGGGAGGAGTTAGGAGAGGAAGAGGAGGAGTAAGGAGGAGAGGAGGAAGAGGAGGAGCTAGGAGAGGAGGGAGAGAGAGAGAGAGAGAGAGAGAGAGAGAGAGAGAGAGAGAGAGGAGATGGAGGTGGATGTTCACGTGTCTGTAGCAGTCAAAGGTAGTTGGTATATCTAGGTTGGGTATTGGGTTACACTTCTGATTGTATGAGCATCTTGTTATTAATCATTATCAAACATATAAAGCCTTTGATTGACCTTTAAGCATTAGAGTCTCATTCTCTTACTGGGCCCACATGGATGGCGGAATGGTCTGGGCAATGTCCAGCCTTGTGGAGACAGCATAGAAGATTGGCAGAGCCATCTCCCATACTGGTGTCTCGTGGGTGGCAGGGCTGGTGTTTCTGGCTGCTGCCCGCACATGGCCTCCGGCTGAGAAACATGGTGGCTGAGCCACTGCAGCTTAGATAGTTGGCTTAACCAGAGGCCAAGATTAAATAATTACTACAACAGGCCCATCTTTTCTAATTTGTCCAATATTTTATCCCACTGCTGCAATATTTCACTTTTTTAAGACTTTCAACCTTACATGTAACTGCAGCAATTTGCTCAATTTCTCAGAGATTAAATATTGTTAATTAATTATTATTAATAATTATAAATTAATTAATCTTTGAAGTATAGGTAGTAGTGGCCTGATGAGATTGTCACTAAGAATAACTGACAGCACACACAAAGCACTGAGGTGAGTGTCTGCCACATAGTATCATGTAAGTGAGTGTAGTTAGTATTAATGTATTTAGTTATAATGTTTCTGTAAGTCCTAGAATATGTGAAGATGAAGCAAAAAAACAAAAAACAAAAAAAAACAAAAAAAGAAAGATGATTCTAATAATTAAAGCTTCAGAAATACCAACCAGTCTCTTGAGGGTTAGGTGCATCTTCTCTGACTAAACCCAGACCCAGCAGTCCTCTGCTGTATATGTGTTAGAGGCCTCATATCACCTGGTGTATGCTGCCTGGTTGGTGTTCCAGTGTCTGAGAGATCTCGGGGGTCTAGGTTAATTGAGACTGCTGATCTTTCTATGGGGTCATAGAAACTGGTACCTCAACTTCTTCCAGCTTTCTACTAATTCAACTACAGAGGTCAGCAGCTTCTGTCCATTGGTTGGGTGCAAATATCTGCATATGCTTGTTGGGTCTTTTGGAGGGCAGTCATGATAGGTCCCTTTTTGTGAGCACTCCATCGCCTCAGTAAGAGTATTAGGTCTTGGGGTCTCCCCTTGAGCTGGATCCCATGTGGAGACAGTGGGGCAGGGAGGAAGTATAGGATATGGGACAGTCAGAGGGTGGACCGGGAGGGGAATAAAATCTGAGAGGTAGAAAGAAAGAAAGAAAGAAAGAAAGAAAGAAAGAAAGAAAGAGAGAGAGAGAGAGAGAGAGAGAGAGAGAGAGAGA